CAGGGTCTGTGCACGTGTTCCTCACCTTGTCCTATTTTTGGGATGGCGGTGTCACGTTAGACGAGGTGCTTAGAATGTAACTTAAGCAAGGCTAGACGATTTGCCTGAGATAAGCTCGGAGCAGCCAGAGCAAAGTTTGAACATATGTGCCCTCTTGGCGTTATCCGCCTCTCTAATAGCCCACGGGTGGCCCCTTTACACGTGGTATCCAAGACATCTGAAGACTGGAGACCCTGCGGTGATTACAGAGCCCTAAATAATGCCACAGTCCCTGCTCGGTATCCCATCCCTCATATCCACGATTTTTCTTTGGGTTCAAACGGAACTAAAGTCTTTTCACGATTTTGATCCTGTCCGGGCTAATCATCAGATTTCTGTGGCCCCCGAAGACGTCCCGAAAACTGCCGATATTACTCCATTTGGCCTATTTGAGTTCCTACGAATGCCTTTCGGTCTACGCAACGCAGCACAGACCTTTCAGAGATGGCGGTGAGCCAAGTTAGACAAGGTGTACACTCATTTGCACTTTGGGTGTGTGCATCTATATTAGACACTCGAACAAAACGGTGAAGGAAACAGCAGCATCAGCTGGGCTTCTTAAAACATCCCAACAAAGTTAACAGACAAACTGGCACACTGAGTGCTTACTCGCGCAGCATGCGCACAACCCACCATTAGGGTTTACTGAAAGCGATGATTAGTGTCCAATGGTGGACCTGGTGTGGTCAATCAAGCGGGTCTAACTCGAATTCAGTTAAATTCACTTGATTTGATTTGTTTCGTTTGTTAACAGGGTTCACTCAGGCGCGGTCGCTGCTAATCCCCTACAGATTGCATAAGTCGTGACTGGTGTGCGAGGTCTCAATTCAGCTCAAGTGTGCTCATGAGCCATCATGCGTCTGCTGTCAGTGACCTCATTGTGGGGGCCCAAAGGTAAAGTAGATAGTCTACAGGACTGCTAATGATCACACGTGTATTCACAACACTGCACCGTAATGTTGGCAGTGGTAGAATAACCACAGTGAATCAGAATATCGATTACATCGAATGGGTCGTAGATATGTAAAAAACGAGCATGGAAGGCACACTCGTTCTATCAGAGAATTCGCCTATCTTCATTGCTAAATCAGGTATTTATTAATGACTGCGTCAGGCATGTTCGTCGCTACAATGGCAGTGGTAATTTGAAGGACTAATCTACTGAAATCAACGTCAGTACTTTGTCTGTTCAGCCATAACTGATACCAGACACTCTCAACTACAAATACCAGGTACCGAAGAATTTGAGATGGTATAAAGCTGCCTATTTAAAATTTGGGAAATAGATCTCAGGAATGTGCCATGACAAATTTTCATGTGATAATTTCGTGGTTGTCTTTGCCACCACGAGTGATAACATTAAGATCTCAGATGAAGTCAGTTGTTCTGAGTCGCGATGATACGCGCCCATTTACCTGGTCGTCGCAGTCTCAAGTACTTTTGGCCGCATGTCTGTCAGTCGTGCGGAAGAGTCTGCTCATTCACCCCGTGCATTTACCGTCACTACGCGCTTTACCCATCTGACCATTCTGACGTTACTATTTTAACACTACCTTTAATGCACTCACACGGCATGACACAACTTGGTTAAGCTATCAAGGTAGCGTAATGGAGCTAATTTCAATGCAGCGGCCCCAGTGTGGTTTGAGACTACATGTGGAATCCTCAATAACTGATAACCCCGAAAAAATGCTCAAATAAGGTAATGAGCTCGGGTTTGAACGAAAAATGTCGAAGCAGTGGACATGTGCGATGAAATGTTCGACAAAAATGCTGCTATTCGAAATAGTTGGATGGACATTGGGATCATTTAGACCATATATCCGGATCGGAGGATGTGAGTTTTGAGAGATTCGATCGGAATGGCAAATTTGCTGTGATGTCCTACGTTCTGACCGTCAAAGTGGGACATAGGGACTCCTGACTCAACAAGTATTCATCAAGAGTGACGCATGCACGATGAGGTCTCGCAAGTTAGAGTCGGTTAGTTAAGGTTAGTCGTCGACGTGGTAAGTTAAAGTTGGTGGTGAAATTTTTGCGGGTGTCTGTACAACCGTTCGCGATAGCATTGAGATCTGGGATGCAGTCTGTCAAATGAGGATATACACATTTATGGTTCTTATTTTCAAAAGGGGAGAGCCAGATTAGGATTTCAGGTGCCTTACAATGGAAATACTTGCATATCCTTCCACCCAGTTGAACATCTACCAATTTTGTAGAGTGCCTCAGAATAATGAGGTCGAGCCACGGACAGTCTATCACAATCGACTAAGATTTACCTATTTCGTGATTCGCCATGACTTCGTGAGTGATTATTTGTTAACGAAGAAGTAATAATTAAATTAGTATAAATGAGGAAAAAGCAATGTGCTTTGGAAAAAAACGCAGGGACTCCTGATGACCACCGCTCAGAAGCATTAAGGCCAACTAGGTTGAATCTACGAGAGAGAATAGTGTTTGGTTTGAAATTTTGTCCAAATTAATATCGGCTGTGCCCACCACCCCAAACACAGCGTGTTTTAATCGACCGATGTCGACTAATCCTCCGTCACACAAGGCCCTACGATTTGACATGTGGACTAGTGGGGCGTTCAATACAAGAGAGAAGTGTTACAACAGTTGCTGCATCAGTGTTTCAACAAATTTGTTTAAGCACAGAAGGTCATAGAGTTTACCAATGTGATTTATTAATTTATGTGGGAAAACGAGGTAAACGAATAGAGGAATACACCAAAAAACACAACTAAACTACTCACGCAAGGGAAAATGTCTGTTCTACGCCATAATTTCAGTCAGGACACGCGATTTGCATTGTATCATTAAATGGTTCAGCGTTTGCAATGGCAAACAGAACGCCGAATGCCATCAGTAATTTCCGGATAAACATGACGAGTAAATAACAGCAAAAGAATTAGCTTCTCCATAGTGACACAGTCTAAACGATGACCAGCATGATCTGCATGGTCATCAACAACACATCCACATGGTTCTGACTCCTCCTCCTCCTCTTCTTCTTCTTCACTCTCGGCTGCATAATTATTGTCGATGAAGTCCTCTGGTTTCTCGCACTTGTCATTTATCGGTGGGCTGTAATTATGCTCTTCTGGTTCGACATTGCACTCATCTTTGTCTGTGCAACTCTCAGCTGGACACACATCCCTCGGTACGCATTTCGGTATGCAGTCAGCCATTTCGGGGTATGCATCTCGAAAGAAATCTGCTAAAAACTGGAGCAGCTGCATTCTATCACACTTACAACGTTCTTCACACTCCCCTTCCTCTTCTTCTTCTTCACTCTCGGCTGCGTAATTATTGTCGATGAACTCCTCCGGTTCCATGGGCTTGTCGTCAAACGGTGGGCTGTAATTCTGCTCCTCTGGTTCGACAACGCGACACGCCGCAATCGGCGCACTCTGTGAGATGCACTCGGCGACTGCTGGATAGAACTTCTGAGCGAATTCGAACAAGGCACAATGCAGTTGCTGGTCATCACATTGACGATTGTCTACAGGCGAGTGTGACGCTTCCTCGTCCACAGGTATACTTGATTCTGACCCCTCCTCCTCCTCCTCTTCTTCTTCTTCTTCACTCTCGGCTGCGTAATTATTGTCAATGAACTCCTCCGGTTCCATGGGCTTGTCGTCAAACGGTGGGCTGTAATTCTGCTCCTCTGGTTCGACAACGGCACACTCCTCATTCGATACACACTTTGAGATGCACTCGGCTAATTCTGGATAGAACTTCAGAGCGAATTCGAGCAAAACAAAACGCAGTTGCTGGTCATCACATTGACGATTGTCTACAGGCGAGTGTGATGCTTCCTCGTCCACATGTTCACTTGGTTCTGACTCCTCCACTTCTTCTTCTTCTTCACTCTCGGCTGCGTAATTATTGTCAATGAACTCCTCCGGTTCCATGGGCTTGTCGTCAAACGGT